AAAAAAAAGAAACAAACAGAAAGAAAGAAAATAGTTTCTAGGATTTTCGAAGCTACCAAATGCCTTTGTTTCTGCATATCAGAATTCAAATGCAAGGGAGGGGGTCTTAACTTGTATATTCGAAATTGACTTTTAGAAACAAACAAGCACTTTGGTAAACAATCTCCTTTAACATATTCAAGTTCCAGTTTATATTTTGCAACTGACAGTATTAACTCCATTCCCAACTACAGATATGAATTACCTTTAGCTACAAGTGCCTACCTTACAACAGAGTACTTTTTCTAGAAAAAAACATTTTTTTTTTTTAATAAAACCTCTATATTTTTTTCGGATTTTTCTATGTTACCTACAGGTGATCAACCAAAGAACTTAAGTTAGACTCACCACCTTTCAAGCCTCCATGTCTAGATCTTTTATGAGATCTCCGTGAAGATTTATGGGGTCGGTTTTCTTGACATTTTTGTTTCTCCGTCTTGTCAGACGATACACCTTGATGATAGTGGAGATTTTCTGAAGAGCCAATCCCAGGAAACTCATTACCTTCCGCCTCATAAGTTTGATTGTTTTCCTCAACCAAGTCAGTGTATGCAGTCTTGGCATGATCTACATGGCCCGCGGGTGACTGAAATAAAGTTACCCTCAAATCTGATAACATCTGAGCTCTTGTTTCCAATACATCATGTTTGTTATCCTGACATTTTAACTGCTCCGTCTTTCGATACATCATTCCAGTGTTGTTGACATGTCCTACTGAGCTTACGCTTTCAATCTCAGGTGACTCGATTTCTTCAATCACTATGCTATTTGCGGGCTTGATGTGATTGCCATTTGCCATAGGTGAAGGCGATTTTGAAGAATTTACTCCATTGTCCAGAGTACTTTGAACTCTCCTTGGGGATTCATCATGTTCGATTTCCTGACATGTTGACTGATTTGTCGTTTTAGATTCTACTCTGTGACAGTTTGCAGGTCGTAGAGCGCCCGTCAATGGGAACTCATTGCTCGGAATGTTTTCGTCAGTTAAGGCGGGTTTGGAAAGATTGGCGTTAATCTTAGGTGACTGAGATGAAGTTAAGTTTGCACTTGCTCTGCCTACTGCTGACATTTCTAGCTCATCCTGCCACACTTTATAGCCACAAGATCCTTGTCCCTGCAGATGAATCAGATATCTTTCACAAATGACAGAACTCTGTAGCCACAAGATCATTTTCTAAGATGTGAGGAAAAAGAAAACAATAGGAGAAATCCAGAAAGCATGCTTTTATTTTTCCAAACAAAAAGGACTTTGCATAGAACTTGATCAAATCTTAAACTAAAAAATCTTCATTTTTACTCGTTTATTGTACATCTGCCGAGTCTTACCAGATTTAACCGAACCCCACGGAGCGGTTCGATGTAATTGGCTTGATTGAGGGAGAAAGCCCTAGACATAGCATTACTAATCATGAACTGGGGGGAATATAACAGAAAAATAATCTGCCATTTTGGGATAATCTTTAAGGAATACAATCATTATTTTCCACAATTGGCAAAAGGAAATAACAAAAAAAATCAGATAACAAACAAAAACCCATAAAAATGGAAAAAGAGAATAAAACCTCCTTTATTCTGCACATGAACAAGATCCTACCGGCATTCGGCCCTCTTCTCTCCTTGCGGACCCGACAAACACCGGCCGAGCAACCCCCACAGTAGGGCACATCGATTAACTCGAAAGTGCTCACTTGGTCAGCCCACTTGAAGAATTTGTGCTGCCGAATTTCATCACCCAAAACAAAAATCAAGTGTTTAATATAGAATAGAGTAAGGCAATTTCTTAAAATTTTGAATAAGAGAA